TGGTGGTGGTGGCCGGCGGCGTGGTGGTGGTGGTGGTGGTGGTAGTGCGGGCCCGCGCCGCTCTGCGCGGCGGCCGCGGCGATCACGGCGGACACCACGGCGGCGGCGGGGCCCATCTCCTCGCCGCTGCCGCCCAGGGAGGCGCCGGCGCCGGCTCCGGCCGCCGAGGCCAGCTGCTGCGCCCCGCGCGCGTAGCCATCGAAGCCTCCCTGGAGCTGGTGGCTGTTGCTGATGAGTGCCTCGACCGCGTCCTCGGGGCTGAAGCCCAGCGCCTCCGGGTTCAGCTGCTGCGGGTAGCCGGTCATCCAGTAGTAGTCTTCCAGGTGCGCCTTCTGCTCGCTGCCCGAGCCCGGGCTGGGCGCCGAGAAGCTGGGGGAAGGGGGCACCGAGCTGCACGGCGTGCTCATGGGGGTGGAGGACAGCGAGCCCCCGGCGATGAGACGGCCGCACTGGCTGATGATGCGGTCGGTCTCCACCGGTTCCTTTTTCACTTCAAACTTCATCAGATCGAAGTCATTAACATATTCCATGGCCAGGGGACTGGTGGGCAGGTCGGAGTTGCTCATTGCCAGTTCTGATGCCATTCTCCTGCCGCCGCCGCCGCCGCCGCCGCCGCTCCGCCAGATGGGCTGCAGGAGAGGGGCCAGCGGGCTGTGCTGGGTGGCCAGCGGGTGAGCCAGCTTGCCGGGCTGGGGCGCTTCTAGCTCGCGCGGCGGTGGCTGGCCCGAAACCTCCGAGCGCGCACACACCCCCCGCCCTGCCCGCGCCCCCCGCGCCCGCCCTCCCTCCCCCCTGCTCACGCCAATGTGCTCGCTCGCTCGCCCCGGCCCCTCCTCGCCTGCTCGCCTCCGTGCGTGCCGAGCCGGCGGCTTCAGGCTCGGGAAGGTCCTCCGCGGGCTGCGGTGGCGGCGGCGGCGGCGAAGCCGGAGGAGCCCGGCCGGGTGCGCGGCGTCCCCCGCTCGCCGCTCCGCTGCGCGCTTTGCATAAGGAGGGCTCGCCTCGCCGGCCCGGGCTGCAGGCGAGGCGCGCGCGGCGGCCGCTCGGGGCTGGAGGCGCGGCGGGCGGCTGTCCGGCGGCGCGGGCCTTGGCACGGGGGAGTTAACACTTCATGCTTCTCGCCTTCTCTTCTGCCTGCTCTTATTATTATTATTATTATTTTTTCTTTCCTCTCTCTCTCCCTCGCGCGCTCTCTCCGTGCAAAGTGCAAGACAGAGGTGCAGCCCGGCTGGAGGAAAGGGAGGGGGGAGTTTAGTTCTTTCTTGCCTTTTTTTTTTTTTAAAGCGAAATAGCGAAGTCCTGGGGAAAGGCGAGGCAGAGAGCAAAAGGGGGGAGGCCGAGCCGAAGAGCAGCCCGAGCTACAGCTCGAAGATGAAAAAAGATTTTAAAGCCTCTGATCCAGCAAGAAGAGTTTAAAGCAATTGCTGAGTTTTATAGCACTTGTGACGTCAGGCCCAAATGGGAAATTGACTGGTACTCCGAGCCAATGGGAGGCGACGAGAGCGGCCGCGATTAGCATAATAGATAGAAACAAGGAAACTTTTCGGAGCTGTCAATCAGGGTCCAATCAGCTGACTGTCAGCTGGGACAAGAGGGCTTAACCCTTCCCGCGCCGCAGCCTCCCGGGAAGGGAGCAAAGCCCGGCGCAAAGTTTGGTGCGAGAGGGAAAGGAGTAGTCCAGAAGGACTGCGGGAACCCAGGAGGACGGGGAGGGCGATTGCTTTACTTAGGAGCACGAGAGAGGCCTGCCTTCCAGAGCACCGGCTTGCCCTCCACTCGCTCTGCGGGGTTTGGCGTGACTCCCCTTCCCGGGCAGCCCCCATCCCCGGGACTGTGAATTCTCTCCGGAGCTGCTTCTCGTCGCTCCAGCTTTGGCACCAAGGCGTCTACCCGGGGGGGGGGGGGGGGGCTGCCTTCCCCGTGCATAGCTGCGGGGAGCTCAAACTTGGCCCTTTGAGCCAAAGAGCGCAAACTCTTTGTCCCTCTCCCTGGAGCCCGCGCGCGGGGGCGCAGGGGCGCGGGGGGTGGGGGGGCTTAGGGTTCCGAGTGCGCCCAGGACGCCGCTTCGCCGGGGGCAGCCCGAGTGGCTCCGGGTCCGCGCGGGGAGAAAGCCCGTTTTACTGCCCTCCTTGAAGGAGGGAAAATAAGTTGTTCAGGGACCATTCCGCGCGGGGACTGGCTGCCGGCTGGCGTCGCGTGCCCTTGGGAGGGCGGCGTGGGGAGAGCGAACGCCTACGCGAGTAAACTCCAGGGAAGCTCGGAGCCGGGTCAGCCCAGCTCAGCCCTCTGGCTTCCGACACTGGCCCGAGTGTGGCCTTTGAGATTCATATTCATATTCCTCTCTCTCTCCTCTCTCTCTCTCACGCACACCCACCCCCTTATGAAATCTGACCCCTGTTTATCAGGGACGGTCCCGCGCGCGCTTTGCACTTTCACATTTCAATTAAGTATTTCAGACTTGGCCGTGGAGAGGAGCAAGGGGTGTATGTGTTGGGGGAAAACAACACCCCAGCCTTCGCCAGCTCCCCTCGAAGGGTTAAGTTTTAAACCGCGGTTTCTCGGACCAGCCCGGAAACCCACAGTGGGGGTGGGGTGGGGGGGGCTGTTTCTCCCCCTCCCCGTTGCAAATGCTAATAACTATTCAGTTTTCTAGACAGATTCTTTTAAAGCTTATGCAAAAAAGAAAAAGGAAAGAAAGAAACAGAAAAGAGAAAAGAAAGAACCAACAACTGTTTCTAAGATTTTAAAGCGATAGGCAGAAGTCGGAGAAACCGAGATTTATTTGGGGGAAAGCAAGCGTGAGCCAAGCCGACCCAGCGTTTGGAAGACCAGACCTCCTACTTGGATATTGAGACTGTTGATTCCTCCAATTAATGAAATGCATTTGGTGTTAATCATATTTATTTTACTTTATGGGATGGGGAGACGCTAGGAGGGCGCACTTAAAAAAAAAAATCTGAAAAGCCTGCAAAAGAATCCGAGTGAGAACTATTGTTGGATTTTTACCTCAACAGCGCCACCTTTCGGCAAAGGTCAGTTGAAATTGATCCGTGTCCAGTTTTGTTGATGAAGTGAAAAGAAGCTGGTTTCCCAAGGTGGGAGGGGGTACCGAGGCACAGAGAGTTAGTTTGACTGCAGTGGGAGAACACAACCTTGTAGGAAAGGTGCTAAGGACAGTGCTGGCAGGTGCAGGAATCCTTTTTCCCTCCTGTCCCCCTTGATCGTTAACAAAAAAGGCGAGGAGACACAGAAGCCTTCGCAGTCTGGTTCTGATGAAAGACTTTTGCAATTGAATCCCCTGTAACAGGGCCCTAAACCCCTTAAAAGTGTCAGGATGGATTTTCAACGGGCTTTATGGCAATATCAATAGAATTAAAGTTACTTGTAATTCGATGATAAATGAGGTGTCTCTAGTAAGTATGATTAAGTGCAGTGCTATAAAGTTGTTTATCTGAGAAGTAATTCTCAGAAAACCTGACTTCTGACACTTAGTCATATATTAAGCCAGCTGCTTGAACATTGCACTTCAGAACTGCTCTCACCCACCCCACAGCATACTTTACTATTTATAATGAGACCTTAGGTGTCACTCATTGGCTTCTTACTTGTGTTAATTTCTCTTAGATTAGACTTGTGTTAATTTCTCTGCTGCTGGCAGCCTTCAAACCCAGAGTCCCTAATGAAAGGCTCCCCCAAAAGTTTGTAGGCACATCATCACCCTAAAAGGCCAGTGCCATTGGTATTTTCCAGAAAAGTACTTTTTCCTTTTCATTATTGCTGCAGAGAAGCTGTTTATAAGGATAGTTTTGGTTTTATGGGAGCACTTTGTAGGGCTGGAATGAAATATGTCTATTACCAGTTGGGAGGAAAGAGTGAAGATTGTGTCAATATTTATGCAATCTAACAGAACTCCTTTGCTTTCCTCCTCTCAAACAGTATTTTACCTAGTAACGAAGTTAAGAGATTATAGTTTATGTATTCAGAGGAAAATCTACTGCTTAAGTTACATAAACATATTATGTCACTTAGCATTGTCCGCAGTGATAGTTTTCCAGGGCTTTTTAATCATTAGCCACAAAAATCTGAAGTTTATAATTTTCATGTAAAATATGAATATATGTATATTTAGGAAGAATTAATTCATTTTGTGTTTATAATAATTTTTTTTAATCCTTTGCATCACATTTTTTGTTAAAAGCTGTAAGATAGGATCCCTGCCTCTCTTGAAAGTAATTTTGGCCAGGAACACTGAAACTGCTACATTTATAAATAAATAACATTTATAAACAAAGTTTGCTAATGACGAAGACCATGGGATACAGATTCATGGCCATCCACCTAATTGTTGCAATTATATATCATTTCTAGAAATTAAATGCCCATGTTTGGGTAGCTAAATGTATTATTATCTGCACATTTTTTATGGTTTATTTTTGTACACTGCTGTCAAGCCATGGTATTTTTCTTTCTCTTATTGCAGTCTTTTACAGTCTCCCATTTTCTCTTGAAAAAAAAAAAAGAGGATTAGAATTATTTTTTAGATGTGTAGCAGTAGTGCTCTTATAACTTAATTCTCGTGTTTGTCCTTTTTGCTTTATTATTTAGTGATTCACAGGGGTGTCTAAACATTTACAGTTCTCTGTTAGCGGCATTTCTTTTGTAACAATTGCGCTCTCTCATTTTAATTAGTACTATTCAGATTTTTGATTCTCTACAATTACAGCAAGGCCACATTTCTTTAGACTTCTTTGCGAACATTGTTTCACTTCTTCCAAGCCAGTCTAATCCAAATACAATGCGAACTGTGTTTTCTTACTGCTTAATATCCCCTTGCTATATATACTCTAGTAATCTCTGTAGAACAATATAGAGTAATTTAGAAACCATGCGTTTGTCATTATTGACCAATTCAAACCAATAGTATTAAAGTTTCTGAAAGCAGTGAATATTTATAGAAGAATGTGGAGGGGGGAGGGTATGGGTCGAATCCCGTAGAAGATTGCGAAACCATAACATCAAAAACACAATTGTAGTTTCATGTCAGTACCTACAGAAGAACTTCACGCAAAAAGAAAGAAAGAAAGAAAAAAACTTGTTCCTGTCCAAATGATAATGATGAGAAGCTAAAAACACCATATTTTTCTTGATTGTGAGTTACAGCAACTTAGGTATATCACATTGGAATCAGACATATATGATCTAAAAAGAATAAGATGCATCAAATATGGTATCTGAACTCTTTGTTTATCCAGCAGCTGATTTTATGGTGCAGAACTAACCAGTGTCCACTAAATTTCACTACAAAGGCAACTAAATTGATTTGAGGAAAGAGTTGCTCAGAGTAACTGAATGATAAGACATAGAGTGTTCTTAGGTCTAGTGTTAGATAAATCCTTTTAACAGTCTTTAGTTAGCAGGGTAAGTAAATCACAAATCACTGTTAGCAGATTCATGGAAGAAAATTAATAGAATCAGATGAGATAATCTGATAAGGGTAAAATTGCTGAGGAAACAGTCTTGCCTTATATTGGAGAATGTGAAACAACAGTCTGATTACTAGGAGTCGTTATGAATAGGTGAATTATGTGCTAAATAATCATCAGAGTAATTCAGCATTTATTAATTCTTTTCTCTTTAAGCAATTCACAGTTGTAAGTTAAAGCCGCTCTCTCTTTGAAGACACATCTTTTATAATTTTTATTAGAGGTAATTTATTATTTGCATTACCTGTATTTACTTCATAATTGAACATTTTGCATTCAAATTTATGTAATGCATTATGCTTGAGAATATATTTCTGCCTGATTAGCATAAATAGTCACTTACCTCATGAATTACTAACAAAGTTTATCTTAAAATATAGGTTTTTTTATTAAGTGGAACACAAACATATGTACAATAAATTCTGATTTTCCGGTGCAGTTAGAGAACAACTCATTTGGTTTTCAGGGAAGCTGGGCTGCGAGGGAGGGGAGTCATCATGAGGAGGAAGCAACATATAGACAAGTGAGATCTGTAGGTCTCTTTCCAGGGGTGTTCTTGTGGGGGGGGGGGGCTGCAGCAGGGCATGGGGTAGGGGAGGTGCAGGAGAGGGTGCTAGGCTCCTCTCCCATTGCACTGCTTCCTGAATGATCTGGACACCGGCTGGGGATCCTAAAAGAACCTGCAACTCACCACCCACACCTTGTGAAGAACCATGGATGCCAGTGAAGGCGCATTGACAGCCGGAGGTTTTGTTGATGTTTATTTTGTTTGTTTTGGTCTCCCTAGGGCTCTACCTTAGAACATAATACACATCATTTACTAAAACATTTGTTCATTTTGCACAAGAGATGGGAAAAAAACGCAGTGTTTTTTTTCTAAGTGAGAATTCCTGGGAAGATCTCCCAAAACTGGGTCCCTTTCTTCACCTGAAAAAGACACCCC